GAATTCATGTGATTCTTTAAAGCAGTGGTTCCATTCTTTTTAGGATTAGTAAAAAATTATCTATCACAATAATTACACCTAGCTTTACCATTACTTTCTTCGTTAACAAATTTAGTAAAGTGGTCTCATACCCCTGACCATGGCTTAGATGCTCATCTTATCACTTTAAAATTTTTAGTTTCATTTTTTGTTACTTTATCGTGTGCAAAAAGTTGAGAAGATGATTGTGTTTGATTAGGTGTAGAATCCAAAGTCAAATCATCCATATTTGACATCTTAAAAAAAGGTAATCAAATTATATCCAAACAATAAAAAATAAAAAATTAAATTATATTCAAATAATGAAATAATAATAATACAATGGCCACACAATTATTAAACACATTGGATATTCAAATAATGAAATAGTCTGTTGATCAAACTGCATATTAGTTGCTTGTTTTATCAATGAACAATTTGAGTATCTAATATAATTTAAGCTAATTTATTTTAGCTTTTAATTTAAGTATCTAGCACAATTTAGATTAATTATTGCTTGTTTTAGCTTTTACGATAAGTTGTATTCAATGTCCAAGGCCAAAAGGTATAGGTAGGAAATAGGAAGTCAGGAACTCTTTATTATGTCAATAATTGACGACTTTGAATTCAATGTCTTTAGATGTTATTGGTAGTTTGTAGGGATCATAATTTTTAACAATTTGAATTTTGATTTAAATGATTCATAAGCTTTACATTAATCATTAATCGCTGTTATAGTTGTATTTATATCACTAAAAAATTCAACATTTCAATTCATTTATAAAAAAAAATGAAAGATTACTAATTTCGATGATTTGAATTTAAATTATGATAACTTTAAATATAAATAAAAAGCAAATTTTTTTAAAATTATGCCAAAATTAAAAAGGTATGAAAAAAAATGGAAATGTACTTTAGGGAATTGAAAGAGTACAACATTTTTTGGGAATAAAAGAGAAGATGCCTAAGAGTTTATTTTATGCTTTGATGACAAGCACTACCGGGAACTATGATTCCTAATAGACCTCACTCAGAAAGAGCATTCGAACTAATGAAGGAAATCGAGACAATTTGAGGTCTACCAAAGGTGTTGAAAATCGCAGCAAAGAAAATGAGGCTTTTATTTCATTCAATTTGACCTTTTGTGGGCCCACCCTGGGGGTTGGGTTAGCACCTCTTACTTTTATACTTTTTTTGAATGGCTTGCGTGGATTCGTATACTTCGAGTGCTGGTCCAGCTTAGACCAAATGAGAAGAGTACAACGTTAAACAAAGACACATATGAAAGGACTTTTACCTACTCCTTACTAGCTTTAATAAGCATGAAGAAATTTTTAAGGTGAAACGATGGGTGTAGTTCAATCCCATCTTGGCAACTATTATAGTATCATGGTAAAGGAAAAAATAAAGGTTATCAAGATTCAGAAACTTATGATGGCTGTAACTCTTGTGCAGCAAAGGAATATCTCTACAACTGTCAAACTCTGATTTTGTGTAGATCTTGTGCAACAAATTAGAGGAAGCCAGAGACTAAGAGGGAAGCAATGAGTAAGAGACTGAGAGGGAGACAAAGATGCAAGAGATTGAGAGAAAGGCAAAGAGAAAAAAAGCGGCACGACGTGGATGGGTTAGAAAAAGTGAATTAAGTTTAAGGTTTTTTTAGGAGAATATACATATTTATCCTTAGTTATTATAAGATCGATTAATTTGGTTAATTTGATTATTAATTTTGAAAATCGATAACTGATCAATTTAATCAATTTAACCAATCTCAAAATCGATTATAACAGAAAATTGACTAGACTAAATCGAAATTACCATATTTCAATGGTTTTGATAAGTTAAATTGGTTTGAACCGATATCTGCTCACCCTTAATTTGAACAATGAAAAAATATAAAAGAAACCTAAACTAGTTAGAATGGACTCCTGATAGACCCATAGCTTATCAGAACCAAGTCAATCACCCTATCTCCTAACTTCAACCTATCTACCTTATAGCCTTCAACGAGAAGGTGAAACCTACCTTTTAAGGCAATTAATTACAAGGTGAGCAAAGCATATGTTGGAACATTCCTAAGGAGTAGCTAAGCCTTTTAGGTTTTTATCACTTTTTTGGGATTGGAATCGATGTCATAAAAGGTATAAAAAAGAACGAATAAACCTACGACATCATCTTTAAAATCCTCTACATCTATATCACCAACCTTTTTCTTGCAAGCCTGTTTGAGTACAATGGCATGCTTTGGTCCTTGAGCATGCTCAGGGCCAGAAACCTCCACAACTTTAGAAAAAGGATAACGATGACTCAGAAGTAAAAGATTCAAAGTTTGATGTTGACCCTGAATCGAAGCTTGGGATTGGGCTAATCGTAGTTTAAGCACAATGAATAATCATAAAAGGCTTGGCAGTAATAAAACTTTGACTAGAAGGGGCTAATGAAGAAGGAGCTAAGGTAAAATGAGTTGAAGTAAGAAATAAAATGTTAGAGAAGGGAATTGAGCTATGTAAATTGACTAAGGATAGAGGATTATTGATGTTAGTATCCAAAGAAGCCAACAACTCTTATATCCCATGACTTTTTCCCTTCGAGTTCAAGCATTCCTCTAACTGCTGTCTCGTTGTCTTTAACATCGGGTTTAATCAAAAAGCAACTCAACTATAGTATTTTTTTGTAATAACAAATGGAACCTTATCAACTATGAGAATTTTTAACCTAAGTTGGCTGACTTGGGTATCCCTGACCTTTATCCCAAAGTTCAATAAATTGGAGCTAAAAGACATGTTAAAGTAAAAATTTGCACACGTATCGATGTGATTATAGAGAAAAGGAAGGATGTACATAAATAAAAGTTTAGATTAGTAAAGAAAAAAAGTAAGAATTAGGTTGGACTAAGCCAAAAAAGTTTGCTAGTGAAAGCAAGAGTAAAGAATGAAGCTTCTGAAACGGGTTTATATGGCAAAGTTTAGATCAAACAAATGCTTCAAATTGAGCCATGTCACACCACAAAAATTAAGGCCAACCTTTCAATTTCTTTGTTCAAATTCAAAAAACGGTCTAAATTTTAAAAACTTGTTAAGAGTTCTCTCTTCATTACATGCTAATTCAAGTGAATCTAGAATCATTCTTCAAAGGAAAGTCCCTGAGTGTTACCTCGTACACCTTTGATTGAGCACTCGAACAAAAATGGTTAGATTGAGCACCCAAATGATCTCTGATAAAGCCATTGCAGAATAAAAAAATGAAGTCGACAATCTAACTTTTAGCTTAGGTACAATCATGAAAGTGACGAGATGACTAAGCCTAAAACAAGTTTGCCACCTCGGTTCAATTCTCGTCTAAGCCATTAGACTCTTTGTTGGAAGGACAGACTGTTAAAGATATTTTATGATCCAATAGGATATAAAAGGATTTTGGAATCCAAAATTGCTTAGCCAATATAACATCCCACCTATTGACATATGAAAATACTAACTTGTCATTCACCTATTAAACATTCCCCAACCACTTCAAGTAAGGTTAGCCCTGTAAAGAGTTCACGTCGCTTAGATCCAAAAGCTTCCCTTCTCGAGTATAACATCCCCTTTCATCCTAAGTAAGGACTATCAATTACTACTCTCTACATATTTTTTTTCTTTGCCTTCCGAGCATTGACTTAAACATTAAAGTACAGATACTAAAAACATTTTTGACCTTTTATCCTTAATTGATCTTCGATCTCTTGTGATTTCAAATTTTACCCACTTTGTTGATCTCAATATCAACAGTCGAAAGACTAAGCTTTTACAATATAAAGCTTATTATTATTATTGTTTTTATTTAACATTGCTTTTGAGTCAAAAATTAATTTTAAATGCAAAAGTTACTTTTAATAATAATGTTTATCGATATCTAAACCTCTAAGTGAAAAGTCCTTTCCATTGGAACCACTTTGCCCTTCTACTGCTATTATTATTTTATATTTTTTAACAGTATGTAAGTACTTAAAATGCTAAATAAATGCATATAATTATACTTAAATAAGTTAATAAATAATTTAATATATATTCAATTTGCTTAGCAATAAATAGATAAATACATAAACTATCATAATCTCTTATTACCATTTATGTTTTTTGTTCTTTCTTTAGCTTTTATCAATGTAAAATATTTATAAATCATATATTTGTCGAACAAAAAATTCATTAAAAAATATGCTCAATATTTAATTTTTATCAAATAATTTTTATATCATCGATTCAATATTTAAATTTTGTAAAAAATATGATCAAGTCAGTCATCACTCGTTAACTATCTTATGGTTGGAAGAAGGCAATTCCAACACAAGAGCCCCGCTGATGCTACCAGAAACCTGTCTCAACAAAATGTTGAGGCCGTTGCAAAAGTACTCCCTAATCTTTTTTGTGGAAGTCAGTGTAAAAATCACAATTTTACACACGATACGATGAGATGATATAAAAACGATAAATTAAAAATTATATATAAGCTTAGTGTAATTATGTTTTGTGTCAACACAGTTAAAACATAATATTATTCATGTCGTATTCGTGTTAAACAGTAATAACATGCTTAAAGAACGATACTTTTTATAATATAAAAAAATTTAAAATTTATCTTAATTTATTTAAAAAATAAATTAATAATCATATTTATCATATCATTTTAATGTTTAAATATATTATAAATATTTAATTTTTAAATAATATTTTTGTTTAAATATTGATTTAAATAATATTTTTTGTTTAAATAAATAGATTAATTGCATCTAATTATATTGTTTCTATACAATTATATTAATCGTATCATGTTATATTATTCAAGTAATTAATCGTATTTAATTTTGTTATTTATATATAATCATATTAATGATATCATGTCATGTTAATTAAGTATATATTAATTTTAATTATATTAATCATGTCATGTCATATATAACACATATAATAAACATATTATATTCATATTTGAGTTATTCCTATCATTTGTATATTTATGTTCGTATCAAAATTACTCATATTATATTTAAAACCGTATTTAACACAAAATACGATACAATATCACAATTTGCGAGATTTAGTGCAGTGCAGACCTTGTTCTTTCCAACTTGTATTTGCCCAAAATGTATTGTCACCAGATTTTCATCATCGAGCTGATGTCGACCAGGTGTTGATGGGTTTGAAACTAAGAATGGGCCTAGTTTATTTATTGTGCCCAGACTGCAGTAGTATTACATGCAGTAGCTGCTTCAGGCAGAAAACTAGGCTCCCATAATATCCAAATCAAAATAATTATTCCAAACTTGTAATTTATTACAGATGAAAATAAATCTTGAATGAAACACCTCTTATTCAGTCATGGACTATTCAAGTGGAAAATATGTTAATATTACATGCCTATCCATCCTCAACTTCATATTTACACCATGGCATTAAAAAAAAAAAGTGTTTGGTAAGAGAGAAAGAGGAAGAAAAGAGAGTGAAAGAAGCGAGAAAATTGACTAATTAGGAAAATAAGCTAATTACTTTTTCATACAAATAAATGATTGCCTATGACTATGGAGGAATGACTAATACAGCTGACGAAAATATGTCAATAACCCAAAAGTAAACTAATTAATAGAACAATGATTTAAGAAGAAAAAAAAATGAAGAGAAATTCAATTTCATTACCTGATGAATATTGGTTAGACAGGATGATTATCGCACCAAAAGTTGAAGAGATGGATTATGAGTTCAGTTGTAATTTAGTTCTCCACATTTCTCCAATAACTTTCCTCGGTGCTGGATCAGTTGGCCCTTTGTCTCGTTGCCCAGACGTGAAATACAACCATCCTTGCCAATATCCAACCAATGTGGTTTTCACACGGTAAGGAAGCTTTCCGATCACCGACCACTTCTGTAAAAGTATAATCACAAAAATCAGAGCTAAATTTTCAGTTCATGTAATCAAAAGGCGCCTAAATATTTAGATTGGCTTGTTGCTGCAACAATAAGTGCAGGTTAAAAAATTATAAATGTACTTAGGTTTTTAGTGCATAGAACATACAAAATGTAATATATATAACCACACACTCGCGTAAAGATTATAATTATAGTAACATAAATGATTATCATGCTTCGATGCAGTAAGGCAAAAGTGTATTATAAAAGGTCCCTGTCCATGTCAGAAGCGATCCACATCATTGAGGTACCCATACAAATGCAAAAAGATAGGCAACAATGAACAACAATCACAAACAGCAATAAGAGTAAAAACTATATTATTATCAAAAAGCTTAAAGTTGCAAATGTCTTGGCACTTTATGATCGATGGCCCTGAATGCTATGTTGAATGTCTGGCCCAAGATTAAGTTGAATAGCAAGCAAAGAACAGCACAGGATTGTTGTCTGAAATACACTCAAAACAAACATAAACAACTGGTCAACCGAGTGAGGACAGAACACAGATCTAGACACAATATAGCTGATTTACTTGGCAGTTATTTTAGGACAAAACACAGCTACTCAGCAAACACTTTCATTAGGCAAGTGGGTAGTCAACCCAATATATTTGCTACAAGTCAGCATTTCAACATAAGTCCTGTCAACCAAGTTCACAAGAAGCAATCTACAACCACCTGAGGTTGAGAGAAAACTGAGAAAACAAAAAATCAATTTGAAACCACACCAGTTGGTTTGGATCGACTCTTTGCTTTTTTGGTTCAGATCGATTTTTAGATTAGGAAGTGAAAAAACCAAAAATATTCGAACCGAATTATATATTTTTATTAGTTTATAAATATTATTAGTTTTTATAAAATAAAATAATTATTTTGTAACTAAATCCATTCCAATATATTAAAATTTATATTAAAATAATATAAAAAATAAAATCCGGTGAACTGAATCGATAGAATTCGATTATGATTAAATCGATTTCAAAAAAAGTTCAGTTTGGATTCTGATCAGTTCTTGAAAATTTAAACTATCATATATTAACCGAAATAACCAAACCATTATTTCCCCGACTACCACCTATGCAGAACAAGACATGCAAAATGTTACTAAGTTCACCTCAATGATATTTGTCAGTTCCTGGAAACTCAGCCCAAAACATCATTTAGATATAGACTATCCAAGTGGCACTAGAAGAAACATTGTCAGCACGGAAAAAAAATTCTCCCTTATCAGGCATACAACAAAGAGTTTCCTAAAGTCTAAAACTTTTTACAATTCAGAAATATCCCCCCAATGTTTTCATTAAAATTGTTTTAGAGCCCAAGAATAGACCAATAACAACCACCTTACAGCTTTAGCTTCCAATATATTGAATCAAAGACCTTTCACTTATTAAGTACTAAAGCATATAATAGGAAATCAAGAACCCACTTCTTGCAAACTAATACAAACTTTTAGAAATGAGGCCTGAAACACATAAGATGGAAGTGCATATGGGAATATTTAAGATGCAATAGATCTGATAAGGAGTTGACTAAAATGTTAAAAACAATTACAGTAAACAAACAATTTCATGCCCCATGGCTTTTGCATTTTGAAAAAAATCATATATGGATTCGTTTTTTAACACTTGGAGCCCTTGAGATTTTGTCCATTAGGAGAAGAGGTAGCAGTGCTAATTTTTTGCCTAAATAAAAACTAAACACTCTCAACTTTAATCGGTTTTATGAAAAGAGAAAAATATTGAGGTGGTTTTTATCTTTTCATTAAAAAGTTAACATAATGAATCCCTACTAGTAATGGAGGGAAGCCAATAAATCTGCGTGTCAAAAATAAAATTGTGATGCTTTCTGCCAAATGTGAAAACTACTAGGGCGGAAATTGTAGTATGCTAAAAATTAAACTACAAAAAGCTGAATAACAGCAACAACTCCACCTGAGGCATGTGAGTATAAATGGGAGTAGAGGTGGCAAAGGGGTGGATTGGGTTGGGTTCAACCACTTCATGTCAGGTCATTTTGGATCAAAGAAAATTTGAGTTGTCTCGAGTCCATTCATTTTGGGTTCAGGTAATTTCAGGTTCAAGTCTTTTTGATATGATACTCGGGCTATTCGGTTTCAGGCCATTTTGGGTTTGAAACATTGTTGAGTTTTAAAGACAAATCAATTTAATTTCAGATCATTTCAAGTTAGTCTTTCGGGTCATTTTGAGTTTGAGTTAATTCAGGATCAGGTTGTGGACTTCTTTTGGTCAAATTGGGTTGAGTTGCTTTCAAGTTCAGTTCAGTTTTTGTCAGCTATAGATGGAGGTAATTTTGTGCCTTACTGCATGGTGACATGTCCATTTGTACACACCTATGCATTTGAGCGTATGTATAAAATGCACACACAGCAAAACACATAAGCTTTTGAATACATACATCCATAAATACCACAATCATCCATTTTCAAGCCATAAAAAGGATAAGAAGATTATACCAGTGTATCTAGATTAAACTGAAACACTTCTCCAACCAGAACCATCTTCTTTGTTATAGGGTGTTTCTCTGTCGTGCCTCCAACAATAACAATAGAATTGTTAACAATCGCCCAAGCAAATTCAATATGTGAATCTGGCTTCGGCATAGGAGGTAATGTTTTCCACTTCATTTCATCATCCAGCATGTACACATCACTATATACCACCTGGAGAAAAATTAGAAAATAAGTTAAATACATGGCTGTATATATAGTTAAAGGAAACGATATAACTGATGCAACATTTATCAGACAAGATAGGAAGGACCACCAGTGAAAAACTCATTACAGCTGGTAACAACAATGGTTAAATTAACCATTAACACCCTAAGGAGTTCCAAGAAAATATCAAATAAATTGCAAAAAGGTAGAGATGCAATAATCTGACATTAAGGAAAACCTCAGTCCACTAGTTCAAAGCACAGTTAGTAAAGCATATAATTTATCAGTTAACAATATCCATCTTTCCACATATAATATATCATATTGCATATATCATGCATCATAATATACTCACAAAAAGTTACTACATGAATGCATGCAAAACAAAGGAAATAACATAACAAGCATTATTAGCATTTTGCCTATAATGCTGATAATATTGGTAATGAGCCTGTGGTTATTCCCTCATCTAATCCCTCACATTTCATTTGCAAACTTTACATAATTTTCATTTTTTAGGAAGAAAGATGAAAATGAGGGTATACTTATACAAAGAATCATGACATCTGATCTCATGGCATTAATGTTTTAATTAGCACTGGATATCCCTTAAATTTCTTTTATTTTAATTTGCATCTGTTATTTGAATGAGATTCCTATGCAAAAATCCATGAGTAAAAATATGTGGATACTGCTTTGGCTGGATGAGGAAGGGAGGAAGGGAGAAAGGGCAGGGGAGAGAGAAAAATAGAGGTGCAAGAAAATGAGACCAAAAATAAACCAACCCAAACAAGTCTCAGTTTTTCAGTTTGGCTTGATTTTCCCTGCATAATTAGTTTTGTTCAATTTTCATTTTTAATAAATCAATTAAATTTTGATTTGATTCAATTTGGATTCCTTAAAAGAGCAGACAACCAAGCTAATGCCTACATAAGCCCATATAATAATTATATAATAATAGATTCTTCATTAAATATATTTGCATAATAATAGATTCTTCATTAAATACATTAGCATATAAAACAAATACATGTAAAATTAACATTTGTTAGTAAGATTTAGAAACATTCACACAAAATTATTCACTTAAACTACAAATAACTTAATAATGCATAAAGTTGTTATATATTATGCACATAATAGCATTTTCGTTTTCATATACAAAATTGTAAATAATATATTATTACTACATATTTAATAAATGGAATAAAACTCTTAACAAATATTAAAAGTTTATCAACAGAACTGAACCAGGTTCATCTTTAGTTCAATTTAGTTGGTTCTTTAACAACATTAAGTTTAGTAAGGCTTCAGTTAACAAGAAACCAGTCAGATTAGGTTTCTTCAGATCTTACCATGAAACTTAACTGAGCTTTGCCAATTTACCATTAATAAAATTGGAATATTGAATGCCAAGTAGGAAATTCCTCAATATTTAGACATTATAGGTCAACCAAAAGAAAACGATACAGAGTTTGCTTTAAGAAAACAGGGACAAAATAAAATGATATATTATTATTATTAAAGCCAATCAAGAAAACACAAAATGCCCCATTACCTCATTCCTTCTGGAGCACTTGAAAATAGGTGATCCAGGTTTTGCCATAAAATCACCCTCTTGACCCCCAATAACATAAAGCCGATCTTTAAACACAACACAAGCCCTACATTATTGAAATTCAAAAGATGAAGTTTAGGTGAGATAAAAAAACAAGTGCACAACTGAAATCAAGATGCTATTTTCTTGGCTCCCAAAAACAAAGAGACACTCGTATGACCAAAGCAGCCTGTAGATCAAGGACAATATTTCCAACAATTTCAATGTTTCAATCATGCCAACAGAATTTATATCTTATCCTTTTTCAATATTGGATAAGGATTCTATGTACATAAAATCCAAATAATTGCTTAAAAATATGAAGAAATACACATTGCATGAATGAGACTAACATATCAGCAACTAAAGATTTGAACCAAAAATTTCTAACACCAAAACATAATAATACCACATAATCACAGCAACAGCATCCTCAAATCCAACTAGTGCCTCAATTTGCTTTACATATCATTTGATTAATGGCAGAAACTAAACAAGCATACATACATCCATTCAGATTTTTATCCATACAAAAATGTATAAATAGTCAAGACTAGATGCCATGAATTCATAATCCAAATGTAAATCACATTATAATCAAGAACATGCATCAAAACCCCAAACAGCACAAAAAGCAAATCTGTCGACTTACTGACAGAAAAAGCAATAATAAAGAATAAAAGTAAACAAACCTGTGAGGCCCCCCACGAGGAATGGGTATTTCGCTCCTCCACTCCTTTTCTATTGCTTTCCCTTCCTTTACAGCAAGACTCCAATGTTCTAATCCAGGTGTATGCCGGTTCTCCTTGCTGCCACCCATCACATGAAGTCTACCTCTCCATAGTTGAGTGGCTGGTGCATACCTGAAAATACTCAAGGTCTGTCACTCAAAAGTTTTGTCAAATGCATTGCCAGTTAAGCCAGAGAAACTTGCTGCATCATTAAATTATCTAGAATCAATATTTTCCAATTTCTAGAAGGGTAATAGGATCAACTGTGAATTAGTCACAAACGGATCTCTCAAAGAACTTGGTTTAGTAGATGTATAACATCTGAATAAACAACAAGAATGATGCAAGAAGAAAATTGGCTTAACAAGCCAACATGTCCAACAAGGGGAAAAACAAAATGAGAGGCAGAGAGAGTGGACTACCAAAACTACAGTTAGAATCCAATGGCTGAATTGCATTGAAGTTTAACCACAAACTTAGAGGGTTGAATTTGTAAATTAATGATAAAGATGCAATTCATTGTTCTATGGGATTGTTGAAGAAGCAGAAAGAAATGGTAGCACATAATATTTTATGCGATTTGGTAATCAACTATTCATGTAGACAAGTTTAGAATCTACTTAATAGAGTTTAAAACAAAGAAGAAAGGAAACTCAGCAAACCAATAAAAGCAACACATAAAGTACATAACACATAAAGTACATAAGTTGATAGTAACAATTATCAGAAACCAAATTGCACAAAATAATTTTTTTTTCCAAAATGCAGGCAAGATACTATAAAGATAGCTTACACATGTACTAATCTAGGGAAAATTAGAGCCTAAGTAATCTACAAACAGGTATATGTGCAAAACACCCAAACAAACATAATTTTTCAATGAAAGACCAACCAAATTGTCCTTAAAACAACTTTATGACTCTAATTTCATGTAGAGATAAGGTTTCTCTAGTCAACCACCAACCGCTTTTTCATTTTCCCTTTTCAACACTACCATTTACCCATATAATGGGCAAACATACACAGTTTCTCGGATGCAAGAGGATTCTCTTTCCTCCAAGAGTACTACTATATGTTTCTTGCATAGTTTGATATGTTGCACATACCTAGGGACTGGCAAAGGGGGCATGTCACGCCATTTCTTTGTCTCAGTATCAAGAACAAATGTGTGAGCTGTAGGCCCTCTGCATTGAGGACCATATTGTCCAGTGACCACATATATGTATCGCCCATCTGTTACCATACCTAAATGTGAATGTGCCATTTCTTTTGGCATATCAAATCTTCCTCCCCATGTATTATCCGTAAAATTGTATATATCAACGTGTGAATGCACCTATGATACAAGCATTGGAAATGAAAAGAAAAACAGTGAGAAGTATAACTCTATTTGGCACAAAGATGTACTTAAAAATCACCATAGAAGAAGTTGAAAATTCAGATTAGTGGCTCCAAGGAAAAGCTGCAGCACTATGATCACAACACAATTGGAACAAAACCGAAGCAGAATTGTTAAAAACTACTTTCAAAAACCCAAAGAAGATACCAAAATTCAAGAAAATAAATAAAAGAAAGTATCGTTTTCAGTTGTTGCTTTTGTTACTTCCTTTTTCTCCCTAAAGATTTGCTAAAAGCAAAAGAAAAATCCATTATGACTAAAAAAGAAGGAATAACAACATGCGACACAAATATATTTTAACATACTTGTTCTACATAAAAATAAAATCATGCTTTCTGTACTCCACAAATGATAATACTTTTAATGCTTATACATTCGTTTCAGGAAGTAAAAAAGAACTAACATAATCAATGGTGCCGTATCCAGCAAAGACATAAAGAAGATTCTTAATCTGAATAGCAGCCCCATCTAGACGAGGAACAGGTGCAGCAGCCATCTTCTGCCATTTGAGTTCGGGAGCAGGCAAATCAGCATAAGTAGCAGATAACACCCTTTTGTCCTTACTCTTTTCCTCAACATTGGCATCCTGCAACAGCAAAGCAGTAAAAGGAATCGGTATTCTGGGAATTCCCCATTGATCTAAGAAATGGAATGGAGAGTTACCTTGTGGTTTGAGGGAGATTCATGGGATTGGTTGGAGTTGGAAGGGAGGAGAAATGCAGTGGCATTGGAAAAACGAGGAGACCAATTGTTGGAAATGGAGAGGGAAGGGTCGAACCGAGAAGATGAAGCCCAGAACAAATCGGCAACTAGTCCGATTCCCAACAGCCCAACGCATAGCAATACCAATCTGGCCGTCCCTGATGACTGCTTCCCTGCCTGCCTCACCATCTCATCTCTTTTTCCTTTGCTTTCTTTTCTCTTTTGGGTTTTTGAACAAGTTGAACGCAAAGGCAAGTGCCTGCGAAATCCAGCTATACAATTCTCCCTTTTTTTTTTTTTAGTTTTCCTTCTTATTACTCACACCGACATTATGCGGACTTTCTTTCTCTTTATTTACTATATTTATTAGTACTATTTTTAAAAAATAAAAGAAACAAAGAAAGAAGTCCGACTGAATTTAAGCTTATGCTTGTTTAATCCGGCTGAGCTGTAATAACAAAGTGCGGTTGGATTAAGCTGTTCTAAAAGCTAAAATGGTATTTGGTAAATTTTATATAGAAGAGAAGTAGAATATTGAAAATCTATTCTGATAGTATTTTTGTATACTTTTTAATGAAAAATAATTTTATTAATAAATTAAATCATAAATTTTGAGGTAAAAAAAAAAATAAAGAGATATTTTTATGCCTGTCACTAGGATTGTAAATGATACATTAGTATTCGTAAGTTACTCAAGTTTGATTCGAATAAAACTTGAATTTGACTCAATTATTATTGAGTTAAGCTCGAATTTGAGTAATTCAACTCATCGATTGAGTCGAATTCGAGCATTCTTATACTCAACTTATATAACTCACGAGCTTAATTTAGTTTTTATATTTATATATTTTTTTATTATTTTAATTAATAAAATATCTCGAACTCAAGCTTGAGCTCGAACATAAATAATCGAGCTTTTATCAAATATAAGAATTGAGCTTATTTTCACATATTAATCGAGCCTAATCAAATAAATTTAAGTAGCTTGACTTTTATTTCAAGTCGAACTTAAACTAAAAAAATAAAATTTGATTGAATTTGAACTAAATTTTGAACCTCAAATTTTGAATTGAACTTAAACTCAAGCTTAATATTATATTAACTCAAACTAATCGATTATATTCGTACATGTTACTTTTTGGCCATTAGGTCAATAAGCATAAGGCATGTGGGTTTAGGACAATCCTTTTTCTTTTTGCAAGGGTTTCACCTTTTTAAGAAATAAAAAATTTGTTAATTATAATAAAATTATTAAATTATGACAAAGATTTTTATATTTTATAAAAATTTAAAATTTAGTTCATATATTATAATTTATATAAATTTAATTTTTGTATTATTTTAATTTGATAATTTTAATCTAATTACTAATTCTATTAAATTTTTTTGTTAGTAAAATATTGATATAGCAAGTAAAATTGATGAAATCAGTTGTTAAATTATACAAATGATTTTTGTACTCATATGAAATTTGAAATTTAATTTATGTACTTGTACGAATTTTGAAATTTAGTTCTTGTATTTCTATAAAATTTGAAATTTAGTTCCTTTTATATAAAAATATTTTGATTCTTTTAGAAATTTTTTAGTTTTTTTTTAAATATTAAAATTTAAAATATTGTTACAATATCTTCTAATAATATTCTATCACAATATTAAAAAAATTTATTACAATATTCTATCATAATTTTCATTTCTTATCACTAAATTTATCATAATTTTTTGTCATCCATGTGAAATAATTTTACTAGTTTTATCAATATTTTTTGTTACATTTTGTCATAAACTATAAATTTTTTATTAAATTTTTCATACTTTTTTTTATCACAATTTTAGTATATTTTAGCCATATGAAAAAAAAAATTTCACAAATTTATTAAAACTCCATCACAAATTTATCAATATATGATAAAAATCCATCATTATCTAATTTTAATAAAACTATTTTTTTATAACTTAAAAAAATATTATTTTTTATTAATTTATTAATGAATTAGAATTATAATAACATCTCTTAAGAGTAAAATTATCTATTAAATAGTGTTTCTATTGTTTCAAATTAATCCTATTTAAATGATTTTTTATAATCAAATTTAAGTTTAAAATTCTAAATACATTAAAGTAATTTATTAAACTTAATATGCATTAGTTTTAAAATTAACCTTATTATTTAATTTAAAATAATAATTTAAATAAATTTTTTTGTGAAAACCCAAAAAATTAAAAGTTCTCATTATGATATACGATATTGATGTTTAGATTTATCAAATAAATCATTTCCTCTTTTCATTTTGTTAGGATCCAAAATTCGTATTTCGAATGGATATGAGCTTGTCGTTATAAGAATTTAGATTTGAATTTCTTATCTTGTTTGGTTGGATGAAATTTTCATTTCATTTATAATTTATTTTAAGTTCATTATAAATTTTGTTATATGATATATTTAAACTAATTAAAATAATATTAACTTTGATATTTTAATTTAAATTATTAATATTATAATCGATTAATATACATGTTAATAACAATAATATATTATTAATTAATTATATAATAAAAACTAATATATTTCAAAAAATATTTTTATATTAGAGGGATTAAAATATTTTTAAATTTAATATTTTAAAAAAACTAAAATATTTAAAATATTTTCTTATAGTAAAGAAATTTAAATTTAAATTTTATACAAATATAAGGATTAAATTTCAAATTTCATGCAACTATAAGGACTAAATTTCAAAATTGATGTGAGTACATGAATATTTACATAATTTAGCAACTAATTTTATTTATTCAAATTATCATGTCAGTAAATCAATGTTATATCAACAAAATTAATGCTCATGTTATTAATTTAACAGTTACGTTAGCATTTTTAATAATAAAAAATTTACAGATTTAATGATTATATTAAAATTATTAAATAAAAATAATACGAATATTAAATTTTTATAACTTATAATATGGGAGTTAAATTCCAAATTTTTGCAAAGCATAGAAATTTCTGGCACCATTTGACCTAATCAAAACAAATTAGTTCAATAAAGAATGAATAAAATAAAAAAAATAATGTGAAACAATATAATCCTACTAATAATTTTATGAATTATTGAAGAATAAGTATTTGGATATATTGAAATAATGTATTAAAGAATAAAAATATTTTGGATATGCACTTTCAAAAAAATTAAAAATGTAAATGTTGATATTATTCAATTGGTTGTCTTGACTAATTTTCTTTAAAATGTATTTGAAATTTGATTGCTTTTAACATTTGATTGTATAAAGAAAAAATGGTTGCAAATAGAATTTTTCATGTAAAGATATGATATAAAAATATAAATATAAATGAACATTGCTATTTATTATATTCTTTGACTTGCCATTTGATATTTATATATTTTTTATAATATAAATCAACCTCTATAAAAAAACCACTTAATAAACTATTAGACTAATAAACTTTATCAGATTATTAAAAATTAAATTTCTGTAAACTCTGGCTTAGTTTCACGTTTATATTTTATTAAAATAAAATAATAATTAAATTTATATATTAATATTAAACTTAGAGATTTTAATCCCATAAGTTTTATACTATTTAATTTTATCAAATACAAACCGAATTATTAGGATAGACTAATCAACTTTGATATAGCTTTGCGTTTCTATTTTTTTTTTTTATCAATTTGTATAATTCTTTTTATCATTTATATGATAAAATTATGGTCTATATATATGAATAGAAATTTTAATTAAAGTAAAACAATAATTAAATCTTTTCATTTAATTTTAATATTGCACAGCACCCCTCCTCCCCACCACATTTTGTCACGTGCCACAATCTCCTTTCTCAAATTTTTTTGCAATTTAATTTTTTTGTATTTTTTTCATATTTTTCAATTCTTTTTAAAATTTTTATCAATAAATTTTTAAAAATTCAATTTTTTTAGGATCCATTTTACCATTGCTTTTAAAAAAATTTTTAAAAAAAATTTATTCGTTAAATAAATTTTATTATGAAACTTAACTGGAGTGTCACGTGGTATTTCTCAAATTTCTTTGTTATTTTAAAATTTTTAATTTTTTTATTTTTCTATATATGATCCCTTTAAGTTGTGCTAAGTGGCACTTACGTTTTTTTATTTTTTATTTTTGTAATATTTAATGAATATTGTTAAGTTTTGCTTTTTAATTTTACATTTTAAAACTTTTTTAATAAATATTTTTTTAACTTTTAATTCTTTTTGGTGTGAGACATTTGATACTAAAGGTATATCGTGTATTTACATTTTTTTTATTTAATAAATATTGTTTTAGATTTCAAATTCTTTTTTCACTCATTTTCTTTTTCTTTTTTTTTCAATTTTAAAACCTTTTTAAGAGTAAATGTTGCCTTTTTGTTTTTTTTTTTAAATTATTTTTAATTTTTATATATTAAATAAGTTTTATTAAAATTTTAATTTTTTTTTGTTTCACCGACTTGATATCAAAGGTATACAATTTGTTAAGTTTTTTTTTTTATCATTTTTTCAATTTACTTTTTCTCTTATTTTCTTTAAATATTTATATTTTCTTTTAATATTTTAATATCTCTAACATAAGAATCATTTAATATTATTGATTAAAAATTATTTCTTCTTCTTTTTTTTTTAATGGAGATTAACTTGAGATAGATTGAGCTTTTCTTAAAAAAAAAAACTCAAATAAAAAACATATTTAGGGTTTTTTACCCTTACCTATTTTGAAGTATATATATAAAAATATATTTATTAGTTATTTAATTTTATAGATATATATGTATTATATTAATAAATTTATTTTTTATTTTAATTTAAGAAATTAATACTTTAAAATCAATTTAGGGTGTCAATGTAGAACTTTTTGTGAGTTTTTTTTTCATTTTTTTGTTTTCCAATTTTGTTCATTTTCCAATTTTATTTATTTATTATTTATTCTTTTTATTAGATAAATTTTATGAAAAAAAACCAATTAAGATATCCTCATATCATTTCTATTTATCTTTTCTTATGTTTTATTTTTTGTTTTTTAATTAGATAGGTTTTATAAAAAAATAGATGATGAATAGAGATGGTAAAATAAAAAATTTTTACCCACAACAATGCACGAGCATTTTTATAATCTATACATAAATATTAAATTAAAAAGTTGCAATCAATAAATTTTTTACTCCTTATTACATCATTATCCAAGTAATTTATAATAGTTATCATTTCTAAAACTTTGAAACCAACAAGTATTAACTACTTAGGCCCATTTAGATTTGCCTGCTTATTATGATTTAAAAACAATCTAAAAATTAATCTCAATAGATTTGTTTATCTTAAAGATGGTAGCTTGCTTGCTACTTACTAGACCATAAATTAAATATGTGCAAAAATAATAATAAATGGTTTCAATAGTGATTGAAAAATAATTAAAAGTATGTAAAAAAAAGATATTTGAAGATATTAGTTTTCCTCCATT